GGCAACACGGAGGTTTTCTCCGTGGCATCCCAACAATTACTCTATTCACACACAGAAGAAGGCAATGGCAACCCACTTCTGGATCATCTGCCAAGAACGTATATGAACAGGTCCCAGTCCGAGAAAAGGATGGAAGGATCCTGTTCATATGGACCTGTCGTCAGACAGAATACTAATTAAATTAATTATTATCACAAGTTACTGTTGTGAAAAGAAAATGCAACAGACAGACAGATAGACATGGATTGGCCCACTAGGTGTCCGCTGAACGAATAAGGTTCAAATTTGTCAGGAATGACAAGTTCTTTGCAACTTTATATAACTTAACTGTTTCTGAGGTTTATTTCATATGCAAATAAATACAGAGAAGCTAATAAACAACGCAGATATCACTACAACGCATAGACTAACATACATAGTCAATGCTTCGCATTTAATTAAATACACACAACGTTTAAAAATGTTTCAAATACAATTTATTAATCTTCATAGATCTGGGCTATATTTTATGACATTCTACGTTAATTTTTCGTAAAATTAGTCTGTTTTTTTACAGAATTACTTGATATTGTTAAGTGAGCAGAATAGCTAGAATATGAACGAATGATTGGAGTTCGATTACCAGCAGGGACCTTTTGCAGCCTCGTTCAGATCTGGACTTTGAGACCCACCCTTCATCCTGTCCAGTGCATACCGAAATCTCCTCCCGGGAGGAAACGACTGGGTACGAAGCTTATTACTCAATTCCATCTGGAGTCAAGGTTACGAAATACACCGATTACGAAGTGTTTTATAAGTTAACAACCATCTTTCATCATTTGCCTTTCTGAGATGAAATTGTATTTCAGTGTTTTCCAAAACAATATCTCTGCCAGGAGGATGAGAATCAAACTCAAAATTTTCCAAGAATGTTGAACCTAAATCCGCGAATACAGAATGCAATACACATTTATCGAGCGGTTTTGGTGATGAACTCGTTCTGTTAGGGGCTTTGGCCTCTATTCGCAGATGAAGATGTGCATTGCACATGTAACCATTAGAGTTCCTTGAGCCACTGTAAATTGATGAATGAAACGCGAGTCTTACACACGTAGACCTAATTGCTTTCGTTTTGGCCCACAATTCATTGCTTCGGAATGCAAAACCGTAGGGATAGACTTGGCAGGTCCTCGCGTAAATGAATTATGAGCGGAATATTTTGCTTCGCATTATTTCAAGGGTTCCCATTATTAGATGCATAAGGGTAAAGATGGGTGTTTTTGAAGAAGGGTGGGGAGGGCAAATAAGAACTTGCTGGGGAGGTTAAAACTTGGCAGGGTGGCGAGAGAGTTAAGGGGGTTGGTTTGTAGAGCGAAGTTGGGGTGAAATTAGTTTACGGAACAGGCATCCTCTAAGATCACACCCTGTCGTTTGTTAAGGGTTTAATATAGGAGTGACGTATCTTCTGGCTTGTGATCCGAGGATTATTTAGAGAAACACTGTGCCATCTTCAGGGCTAAATATGGAAACATTGTCTCCAAAACGCTGGTATTTGCCTGTAATTCTACATGGCGTCAAAACGCAGAACATTGTAATTCTCAACGCAGTGAAATCCTCATGATCTCATTGATTAGTAGTCAGTTTCTATGAGATGTAAATCGAATATTTCGATAAAGAACATCATTTAATATTTTAAATATTTTAAATGTTAATTATTGTAATATTTTAATATTTAATAAGAATTTATTGTGATTAGACGGACAAGATTTAAATAATATTATAAATAATAAATAATAATAGTCAGTTTCTAGTTAACAAACTCGTTACTTTGTCAGTCACTTAGATACTTGGCTGGTTAGTCGATTAGTTTATTTAAAAATAGGAGAGTCAGGTAGTTAATTAATGAGTGTATTAGTCCTTCTGTTTGTTAACCATTTAATCCACAGTAGTAAATACATGCGCTTCAAAGGGATCATGTGTGGCGTGTTAGATTTAAATTAGTCATGTGTTTTCCAGAATTATGTATCGATTTGTTTAATTTTTCTTGCTGTATACTGTACAATTCTGCAAAACGCCCTGCTCAGCCTGTGTTCCAGAGAGGCTGTGAAACCAAACTTTCATCTCACGAAAGCTCCATCTAAAGTTCCATAAATCTTGCAAGTAATCGAGAGGAGAATCTCCTAAGAGAGCAGGGATACCAACCTGATAAGAATCTCTATACCAGCTAAACGCGGTTTCTGGTTCAAATGCATTCTTAATCCTCCTCGGACTGGGAACTTTCTGGCAATTCCCACTGAATACCACGGATCAAAGTCCTTACCCACCTGCTGTATAAAAAGAAGTTGCCCATTTTATTTGAACAAAGTACTCCGGATACCGTTGCTAAGTAAACGATTATGCATCCAAAGGCTGCACAATACTGAATAATAAATCGTGGCGTGATTTAACAGCACATTGCTGAGGATGAGGGAAATGAATGTCGCGGTCTATTTTAAAATAATTTCCCAGCATCTTCCGGGTTCTACAGTTCAAAATTCTGACGGAAGGGAATAAAGAAGAAAATTAAAATTAAAAAGAAATACGGAAAATGAAAGCAATAAATATAAAAAGATGGAAAAGGAGAAAGTTGATTAAAATAAAATATTTTGAAAAAAGAGAAAGATAGCCAGCAAAGAATACAAAGCTTGGAGTGGAAAAGAGTGTCTTATGAAACTTTACACTGTGTGGTCTGGTAGACGTTTACAGACGTTACAGAAATTCTTACTGCCTCCATCATCAATCCTGTACCACGCCATTTTTGCATACACCCTGAAAACAGAAAACATACAAACCTACCACGCGATAACTATATCTTCTCTTCCGTTTGGTAGCTAGTAATTAATAAGATTGTTTTTATTATACAGTACAAACATTTGTTTGTTAAATATTAAAAACTGACTATAACCGACCGACAACACATTTAAATGTCTCCAGGGCGGTGTATGAACCTGCAACCCCCGTGTTCTGAGAGACGCGACGCCTGAATTATTCATCCCTTTCTTTATCTCTCGTCCCGGAATAAAGAGGAAGGAGGGAAGGAAGGTATGTGGACAGACCACGTTCTGTTATAATACTCTACAGATTATAAATAGCAGCTGTACTTAAAGATGTCAAGTCTCGTGGGCAGACCTTCCAGGACAGCCTCCATTAGCACAAACATTAGTACGGAGAAGCATTAATACATTCTATCCCACCACCAAGGCCGTTTGTCGTGTTGCTGCCATTAAATGTGGTGTACTGGGGGGCGGATGCAGCAGAGGGTTAAGGAAGAGAGATACGCATCCCGTTTGTCAGATGTCTTCTTCTCCTGCTCAAATGGCGCCTGCCACAACCCCTCGGTAAGCGATCTAATGTCTTGGCAGTGAAACGCTCCACTACTGAGTCATATTAAATATCATATCTCTCACCCCCATACCCCTTAGAATTCCGAGGTCTAGCCATCTTGTGGTGTTTCTTATTTTGTACTGGAATGTAATTTGTTTGTTGTATCTACTGTAAAGGGTGGAGTGTGAGTTGAAGGGGGTGAGAATGACATGACACTGGAGGTTATGTAGGGTGTGAAGAATAAGGGTGGTGGTAGTTAAACAGCGAGTGGTCACGTGTCCTTGTTAGGGTGAAGGGATGCTATTAAAGGTCTGATGTGTGTGAGGGGGTACAAAATACAGATACGCGGTTCTTAATGACATGAGACGTTTCTGAAATACAGGAACTGATTGAAATATCTGTTCTCTATCTTGTGATCTCATATGCATCCCAGATACGAAACATAAAGATTAAAACATACAAGAAGATAACTGTCTTTTTGGATATTACACGGTGTAGTCTAGTACAGGTTTACCGGCGTTTCAGAAGTGTTTGCTGCCCTGGTGATGGATACAGCAAGCACCTCTTAAACGTCGTAAACTTCTACCAGGCTACACGGAACTTCAACTCAGAAGACAACTAATCTTCATACTAGTCGCCGTAAAAGCTTAAATTTCACCTAAAATATAAGAACGCAACTTTACTAGTTGTTCTGAATGGGCCTACGAATTTGTATCTCACTTCGCGCCAACAAAGTGGACTGCGGGTGTCGGAGAACATCGTCCTGTGGAAAATACTTGTACCTAAGGCATTGAGGAGATCAGAGAGTGGAGAAAATGTTGAAAAACTTCATAACTTCTACTCTTCACCGAATAGGCTATTAATAGGGAAGCTAAATATAGGAAAATGATATGGATTGAACATGTATAACATGAATTGGTGATATGAATGCATACAAGAGTTAAATTTGAAAACCGGAAGGAAGAGACAGTGCGGAAAAATGTTGATTTGATTCGTCTGGGTCCAGAGACAGGCTCTTGTATACACCCAGAGGCGTCGCTAGAGAACTGTAGGTCCCGGGGCGTGGCAGTCAATGCGAACCCTTCTGGGATCCCTGTTCTAGGTCTACAATGACATTAATATGTTTTAATATGCTTCATGTTACATTTTTACTTCATGGGGGCATGAGGTGTCGCTGTGGACGAGATATTTTATACATCGTAATGTCAATGAGCGCCTCTCTGCCCCCCGTTCACCCCGCACACTAAAGGCGGCCCTGTGCACACGGTAATGAACCTTCGGGCTTCATAAGAGGCGACAAATTTCTTGACCTCCTGAGCGGCTATCAACTTTTCAAGAAGGACTATGTACTACTATGGAGCTAGTTACAAGACATAAATGTGATGGAGGCCAATTCATCACAACAACTCTGCCTTTCAAACAATGTTCTTCAGACACTTTAGCGGTCGGGCAGAGGGGTGGGAGTTTAATCACGTGACTTTCTCTTCCATAAATACGTCACTTGCAGTCTATATTATGTGCGACATTTCTCTCTGAAACTGATGTTAATTTGTTGTGTCCTTCCCATGGGATTTAATGTCAGCCCCTTGAAGTAAGAAACCATGAACTCCCGAAGTGCTTTGCACTGAAGGAAGATGATAAATGCCTCTTTGTGGACACTTCGTCCCCGTGGACGCCTGTCTCCAACCTTTAATAATGTGCTAGATTCCTTCAGCCATTGTTTTCAAGTCCTGTACACTTCTCACAGACCTTCTTCTAATGATGTTTAAACCTAGCCACCAGTCTCTATACAACGCATTATTCTTTCCTCTAGATTGTAAGAATAATTAATGTCATATTACTGTGCTGAAAGCTGTTACATTGGTTAGAATCTTGGTTATGTCACTGCCTATCCTGAGTGAATATTATCGTTGTTTTTCTCAGTCTCATTAGTGACTGATAGAACAGCAGGTTACTTAGAAACATGTGACTATAGGGTATTTCTAAATATCATTTCCGCTCATCACTTTTTGTAATTTAATTTGAGGCTATATAATTTGGCCAGTCTTTAAACACGGAAATCAATCAATCAATCATGAGTGCATTTCACTGTATCATTAGTATTTGTTATGATGCGTAGCGCAGGCTTAATAGACATAACGGTGATTTTGCGTTTTCCGAGGACGGGCTATCTTTCGGTGTCACGCTCTTCAGTAAAAGTAACAGTGCATAATTCACGTCTAAAAAGTGTTCATTTACCTTATAAAGTTTAACTATCGCGCTTACGCGATAAATTCGAAGGGACGTCATAATCACCAACAATGATGTGATGAGAATAATCATATTTTATGCACGTGGGAATGTGAAAAAGGCATTTCCCGTGTTATAAATAAAAATATTTAATCGCAAATTTGTGAGACTGCTCATAGAATATGGTAATGTTAACGGATAACAAAAATGTAACTAGTGAATTTATACTTAAATTTAAAACAAAAAGTAAGTTACTTGTTAGTGTCAACAGAAATTACATTCGAGTTACTGGGCACTAAAGATTCATTGAAATCATTATTATAATTTGCTGACAGCGTCGGCCCACAGACCACCGGCTGAGTACGACCTGTCTACACAAGACGCGAGTATCAAAATAATTAAAACTTTATAACACTTAATGTTACGCCTATTAAACGTCAGAATCAATAACAAAGCCTTATGCTAGAAAATAAACTTTTCTCCGGAGTGGTGTCATGCGACAAAGCAATCTCGCCTCTCTTTATCATCCGGTCGTTAAAGCAGTTTTAACACTTCTTGGTTTCACATGTAAGCTACTCTGCTGACCGTAACAGTTTGTGGCTCTGATAATAATTTGTGTCACTCTTTCGTCCGTCACCACAAAAAAATTGTTATGTTTAAACAATAAACTGCCCGTTATCATCCCTTCACCACATCAACTAATATCGCTGCGAATCGCGAATTCATAAAACTGCCCCTAGGTCCACTGAGCCACTATTTCAAAACAGTTTTATTCATTAAAATGATGTTTCAGTTAAAACATGACAAGTGTACGAAGTGCGTGGATGAATGTCCTAGTCTCTTAACGAACTGTTATGAAATCTTAAGATGGGACTAAGAAGACAAATTAAAAACAACGAGGGTCTAGAGTTGCAACATTCACATTATATTATGATGATTAAAGCAAAGAGGATTAACTGTACGTGTCCTGTAAACACTTTTCGGGGACACAAGAAATACGTACAATATTCATTAAGTAACTCTAAGGAAAAACACAGTTTCGTACAATTAGGCAGGGAGATATGGGGTGTGTAGTTGCGAATGGACTACGGAGATTCTTAAAATGCGCGTTTTAAATTATGGCAATGAACGCTGGGGTCGTCACCAACATTATGTAACTCGTATAAAGGTCTTGTTCCTCGAAATTATACCACGAGATAGTGGCCGACTTAAATACTGCGGGTTGTTTAAGACAGCTTACACATGTCGGCCTTAGTATCTGCATATCAGATCTAAACAACTGAAGACGTTTCAAATAAAATAGTATAGAATGCATGACGAGCGCAAAAATGTTCTATTTTGAAAGAGCTGCTATCATCAGGAGTGCTTCTAAAAGAGACGAAGGTACGAAAGGTAGTAGGAAGGGATAAAAATACGAAAAAATAATGCCCGTTAACTATCGGCAGGCATTTGACATTAGCAGAAGAATAAATCGTTGTCCTCTGACTGCAATATTCATAGGGCTAGACCTAAATTAATGGCTCATTTTTAGGGCTGGATAAAATTTCAAAAAAAAAGTTTATGATCTTTCTGTCACAAGTTACTTATTTTTAATTAACCCCATCTTTCCACCTTTTATTTTCTCGGAAGCTTCTTGATTATTTTCACCAACATATTTCCCAACTCAAGTACCACCACTGTCATTTTAAATTACCTAAACTTTTACTATCTCCCTCTGTCTATGTTGGGGATATTTCACAAAATATCACACGTTCAAAAGCTACTCTTACAACAGGGCACTGGGGGTAAACCTATTAAGATAAACATCGCTTAAAGCTGGCGGGATGAGGGGAAAAAAACAACACATATCCGAAAAAGTGGATTGTTACAGCTATAGGGGTAGCTATTAATCTTGTTAAAGGGCAAATGTTACAACACAGTTCTGTAGGGGGGAGGCGTGATTACTGTTTCAGGAACAAGCAATATTATTACCACGGGGTTCAGATAATCCAGCACTCAAAAAACACGTCCCCCCCCCCCCCCCTCAGTCTGATATTGCGGTACTTATTAGATACCCCGACACGTACTACTTTAAATGAAGTTTGGTGGAAAGTTGCAAATGGCGAGTGCTTTCACAGAAATGTAGTAGCTTATTTTATTACGTGGAACACTGTTAACACGTGCTCATATATAACCACTGCCGACTCTATTACTTCATTATGAAGAATATTCCAAGCGTACATACAAACCATCACAGATTTTTATATTTTTATAATTCGGAAGGGATACAATTTTTGATTTAGAATCCCCTTAACCCTTTCCGTGTTACGGACGAGTTTACTGTAAATAACTCTGACATGTAATAAAATCAATAAAAGAGTTATCCTACATCGCCGCTACGTTATTCAAATTAACGGAGATATTAAACCTAAGCTGTGACGTAAAATCTCAGTACTTTACAGTAGAGTGAATGAATATATTCTTATTTATTTATTTATTTATTGCTTGAC